TGCGTCCCATGGCTGCTGCTAGACAGCCATCCATTAATGTACTTTTTGAAATTGGACAGTCAAATGATAATGCTATAACTTTTCTTCAAAACCATGTTTTAAGATCTAACCTCCCCAATTGCGTCACTTGCGGGCGTTTGATGACCCTTGTCAAATCTGGTCGAGGTGAGGACAACGTTTTTCGTTGCCCCAGTCATAAAAGTGTTGTGATTTCATTGAGGAGAGACTCTTACTGGGTAAACTCCAATCTTTCTTTGAAAGTCCTTGTGCAGTTGTTATATTTTTGGGCCTACAAGACACCACTCTGTGTTACAAGCGATTTTGTAGGAGTCAGTCCTGTCACTGTAGTACAGTGGTTCCAATATTTTAGGGACATATATGTGGTGGCCTGGGAAAACCAGGCGGAAGACGCAAATCCCCAAGCCTAGCTACAGCTCCATAAACACAAAATATTGATTTTTTTTATCGAATTTGAGATTATAGCCAAATCTTTTTATTTATCCATTTTTCTAACTAAAAATTGTAATGCTAATGCCTAAAACAGTTGGAAAATCTGTTTTTGAAGACAATATCTAAGGTACCCTATGACGCTCGCAATCGGAAAAATCATCGAAAATTGCCTTTGAAGAACGAAAAATTGACAAATTTCAGCCGGCTGTGGAAGGTTTCCGTCTAAAAATAGACCCCCTATATTTGGTATGGTTTTAAAGCTTGTTTTCTCTACTTTCCAACACTGAAGAGTGCGCAGAAGTAATATATACGGGTATTTAGTGCGCATCCAATCAGCGAGCACGGTACAAAATTCAGTCTTCCGTTTTCTTTGTCCTACTTGCGCGAGGGAAGCTACAGCCTCACAAGTCACGCAGTTCGTCATTTTCGCTTCGAGCATACAGCTGAATCTGTTCCCTATCGACATTTTATTGTTTGGACTTCATTGGCATTGTTTTGAAAAGAAATTCAAGATATTCCGTCGACCACTACAAGTCGAGACGAGTGATCATGGCGACGTCAAGCGAGGAAATCGCCAAGCTACTGAACAGCTGTTCGCGGACCGTTGTTGACAATGTTGGTAACGACTCCATTCAGGATTTTCTTGATGATTATTTCGGCTCAAGAAGTGACGCTGATTCTTTATTCAGATTCTACAGAGTCTTCTGATGCAGGTTAGTATCTAATGTTACAATTAGATTTGCTAGTATTTGTTATAAAGTGAATAATGACATTACCTACGGATGTAAACATTGCGGCTGAACAGCTGATGACCGTTTGTGTTGTCTGTCTTGATCTATATCTAGAATCTTGATCTATACACACACAAAACAACCGAACAAGGACACAAACAACCACCAACCCAACCGCCTGCAAAGGTTGTGATGTGATGAAAAGTGATAAAGAGAAACAGATTCTAGACGAATTTGTCTACATTTTAGTTTGTCCTTTCTCCTTACCGTAATCCCTAGATCTAGATCTAGATCTAGATCTACCCTTTGTACCATGTCTAGAATTCTAGATTTAGATCTAGATATCTAGATCTAACCTCTCCCTCTTTGTTCTAACCACTACAAAACTGTTTTTAAAACATAGATCTAGATCTAGATCTAAGTCTGGTTCAAGATTTAAATTCTAGGTCTAGATTCTAGATCTAGGAACTGCAGTCAGTCTATCTAATCTAGATCTAGATTTAGGCTGTTTCGGTGAGGACTGCTTGTGTAGATCTAGATCTAGATTTAGGTTTCAGTGAGGACTACTCCTGTGTATTGATCAACAATATAGGTCTAGATCTATACAAATTGTAAATTGTTCTAGTTTTACGTCTCTTGACACTAAAATCATTCAGGAGGCAGCACGGCCCACCCGGGTTGAGAGGGATACAACGTGCCAGCAGAAAGACGAATACTCGATTTATAATAAAACTCGCCCCACGCGAGCATCAAACTCACATTTTCTGCATGCGACAGCGAAATGCTTTACTGCTACACCACAGACGCAGATTATAATTATTATATATATATATATATATATTATTATAAGAAGACCAAAGACTAATTACTTTTCAGTGTCTTGTGCAGCTTTCAGGCTAGAACGAGAATGGACACAGAGTAATACTGTTTTATGATCACAAAAAATGTGTATGTATGGTTACAGTTTTCATTAAATACAAAGGTGGACTATGAATTAGGCCCTCATGCTCATCTCAGATCAATATGATGTGGGGAGAGAAATCATTTAAACATGCTGAATAGTGTGGTCTACCGTAACATGACTCAACAAAAAGTGAGTCTCTGTTAGAGTGACGACTGCTTGTTTAAAAAAACCCAACCCAAAACATGTACTTAATGAATCATATATAATATCTTTCCACAGTTGACACACATGAAGAGTTGGAGTCTGATTTCTCTGTTGTGACTGATATTGGCCGAGCTGTGCTCCCCTTGGCTGGTTCTGATACTGCTCCGACATGTGCAAAGAAAAATTCTTCAAAGCGTCCCCCTTGTGCGTGTGCCTTGAATAATGGTAAGCCGTGCCATACCATGTTTCAGGACGAGGAGCTGCAGGAGCTGCGGTGCCACTTCATGTCGCTTGAAAGGGCGGAGCTGGACATGGTCGTCCTTGCCAAGATCAGCTGTGGCATTCATCTGTCGGCATTTACTATCAGGCCGAAGCAGAAAAGCCAGACCGAGAGGAAGGCTTCCCGCACGGATTATTTTCACCACGGGCAACGAATCTGTCGGGACACGTTTACCTTCATCCATGCCATCAGCCGGGAAAAACTAACCGCACTCATTGTGCACTACAAAGAACATGGTATCTCCCCACGCCAACATGGAAACCTCAAGAAGCTGCCTTCGAACTCCTTGTCTTTCAAGGACACACGGAATGTTGTGGACTTCATTGTCAATTATGCCGAAGACCACGCAATCATGCTGCCGGGGCGTACTCCACACAACTGGGTGTCGGATGTAAAGCTGCTGCCCACAAACTGTTCAAAAAAGAGTGTCTTCGATCAGTATTCTGAAACCCTATCTTCAGTGCCGGAAAGTCGTGTTGTGAGCTACAGAAGCTTTCGGCGGATTTGGGCTGCTTTGCTGCCATTCATAAGAACTATGCCTCCAGCTACTGACCTGTGCTGGGTGTGTCAGCAGGATGCTGCGAAACTTACTCGTGTGCGGAACGAGTCTGTGGAGACAAAGACTGCTGTTATAAAGGACATAGAACAGCATCTCTTCATCGTCACTTCTGAGCGGTCATATTTCCGCTTTGTCTGCGATACCGCTAAACAGGCTCTACCTGAGGATATAGCAGATTTCGGCGTTAATCCCCCATGCTCCTATGACGGTGTTGTTCATTACAGTTTCGATTTTGCGCAGCAAGTGCAGTATCCGTCCAACCCACTTCAGCCAGGGCCCATTTACTTCAAGACCCCCAGGAAGTGTGGGCTTTTCGGGATCCACTGTGAAGCTCTGTCCAAACAAATAAACTACTTGATAGACGAAGCGTGTTCGCCCGGCAAAGGTGCTGATTGTGTGATTTCCCTGCTTCACCACTTCCTTAGCAACTATGGACTTGGTGAACAGGATCTCCACATTCATGCGGACAATTGTTCGGGACAAAACAAAAACAGCGCTATGATGAACTACCTACTGTGGCGTGTCATGACTGGCCGTCACCGTAGCATTAAAATGAGTTTCTTGATAACTGGCCACACCAAGTTTAGCCCAGACTGGTGCTTTGGTCTTTTTAAGAAGCGGCTGCGGAGGACTAAAGTTGACTCCATGCAATGTATTGCCGCTGTGGTGGAGAGCAGCTCAACTTCCAACTTAGCGCATGTTATTGGGCCTGACCCCAACACAGCCTCTGTCTCCTTTTTTAAGTGGACTGAGTTTCTCGGTCAGTACTTTCGAAAAGTAAAAGACATTAAGGCTAATCAGCATTTTCATTTTTCACAGGACGGACTTGTAGTGAAGAAGTTTTCTAGCTCCCCTGAAGTGACTCTAAATATTGTGAAGACACGAGTGCCACTAGAGGGCATGCCCAATGTTATTTCTTTGCCTGGGCTGGACAACAAGAGGCAGAACTATTTGTATCAGGAGATAAGGCCTTTCGTGCAAGAGGAGTTCAAGGACATAGTGTGCCCCAAGCCAGTTGTCGCTACACCAGACAATCCCCCAGCTACCGTCCCGGAGGAGCCCAACACCCCCCCTGCCATTGTACGCCCGAAAAAACAACCGGCAAAGAAGAGGAGAAAGCAGTGATTCTTCTCTAGCCCTGGAATTTATTTGGGAAGTGGATGTACGCGCTGTCAACTGTAAGTGCTGGTTACAGTATAGGTTTATAATGAAAATCCGATGCTTCACATATGAGCCTTTTTCTTTTCACTCTTCATCACACTTGCTGACTCATATTATTTTCCACAATGATCACACAAAGATTTAAACTATTTAAGCTTCTTATGCTGAAAAGAAGCTTTAATTTGATACCAAAATGATTGCTCTAGGTGAATTAGGAGGGAAGTTATAGCTGTTTATATTTTATGAAGTTCACTTTTGTCCACTGGTTTTTACATGGTTTTGATTGCATAACGTTATTTCGACTGCACGTCTCTACAAAGTCAACTATCTTCTTTTTTTCCTTTTTGCTGGTTAGTCATCTGTTTTTTGGGCCTGGGAGCAGGGTATTTGCACATTACAAATAATGCATCTCATCAGTTAG